AAATATATTTTGATAAAATATATTTTTTAGTAGTGTACAAAATTGATTTTGTGTTTTTCGATAGTTTTAGTTTAGAATACTATAATGGAATATTTTCCGCTTGTATTCTGACAGAATAAAGCTTATATCAAATATATTTTGATGATTTAAATGCTCCTTCAATATTATCGAATGAAATACGATTATTTTATTCTGTTTCATGTTTTCATGTTCTTGATAAACAGAAAACTAAAATATTTTCCATTTATATGTAAATTTTTCATGCTAATTCTCATAAAAAAACAAGATCATATCGAACGTTCAATTAATTACTCAAATTTCTACTATAAACTGTTTACATGAGGAGAAGAAGACTATATCGTACTAGTATAATCAATCATTTAAGCTTTTAAATTCGTTCCTTTTGTTTATTCACTAAACAGCAGACAACGTTTCGTCGTTTTACACGCCATCTTCAGATCTAATAAACAACTTAAAACAGGCTAGCTATACCTCAAACAAAAATTTAAAAACAGAGAATAAAATTTAACTTAATTTAAAACTATATAGAAGCTATAAAACATCACATAATAAATACAACCAAGAACTGAAAAGTAAACATGTTGTTAACTTTGATAGACATCATACTAAACATAGTAATACTTTTTTCTCTTCTGTTTTCTTAGATTATGATATTTCTTTTCTTTTCTGTACTCTACAATCTTAATGGAATTCTTAGCTGTTTTTTCTGTTTTACTGTTATTTTCTTTTTTTCTTCTTTCTGCTCTTCCTTTATTTACTGTACTCTGCTATATAGGTTTCAATTTATTTTTCTACCGTTGGTCTCCATTGATGTTAATGCTTATTCGTTTATTATAGGACTGACTGACTAACAAATATACACTCTCTATCCTCCTTCTTGTGAAAACATTTGTTTCATCATAAAAAATAATAATTTAATTGAAATTAATTTTCATTAGTTTTACAAGAAACTGAATGTTTTGCTATTTTGGAAATGTCGTCCTTATTAACACATCTTTCATGCTGTCGTACTCGTCTTTCGAAATTTTCATTTTCATCTACATACCGCGAACCGTACCGACAATATATGCTATTTTAAGTTTTTTGTTAGATCTGTGGAAGGCGCGTGTAAAACAACTGCTATTTAGTGAATAAACAAAAAGAAAAACTAATACGAATTTAAAAGTCTAAAAGATTTGATCTACTAGTAAACTTATTGAGTTTATACATAAAAATTACCGTCATTGTATGACATACAATATAGAAATTTTAATACGATGTCTGTTTAATCTGTTGTTTTCTCTAGTTTCCAAATTCTTTGAATGGCAGTGAAGTCATAGAATTTGCATATTTTATGGCACCTGGTATTATTTTATCGTATGTAGGCAAAACGATTATAATTCATTTTAGTTACATCATATTTTACTGTTTTTGTTTTTCAGTATAATATTTTTCATGACTGTAGCTATTACAGCATTGAGTTTAGTAACAGAAAGATGTGAAGGTATCGTCTCATTATCAGATAAGAATTAACATTATTTAATATTAATTTCTATTTTTAAAGGTACACAAGATCGTATATGGGTTACGGGTAAAATAAAAATATATGTCGTAAAAGAAATCAGAGTGAATCAATGTATATGAATGCTTTTTGTTTTTTAGGTGTGAAATCCAGTGAAATTATATTTAGTCAGATGATTGTACATTCCGTTGTTCTTATTATTCAAATATCAATTGTTTTATTCACAGCATTACATGTGTATAAAGTATATTTATTCAATAAATATATTTAATACAATATAATTAATTAAATATTATTTTTCTTTTATTAGATTCCATGCATGGGAAATTTAATCTATGTTGCACTTCTGTGTTTTGCACAAGGTTTTTGTGGTATGACATTTGGTAAGCTATTTCTATACACCATTTTGTTATTAGATTAAAGATATATTTTGTTGAAATTCATCAGGTCTAGTTGTATCATCAATATTCGTCACCGAGATAAATGCTCATCAAGTAACAATATCAACATTTTATCCTGTATTATTACTTTGCGGTAGAAACATCATATCATACTATGAAATGATTTGAAGTATATAATATTTGTTTTTTATTATTATTATAGGAATTTTGTGGCCACTTGAAGGTCAACCATTGGGAATGAGAAAAATCACGACATGGTTACCAATGACAAAACCTGTTGACGCAATGAGAGGAATTTTATTAAAAGGTATAATATGTCTAACGAGGGAAGGTCCCCAGGTGTTTCCATGGGATTTCAAAGCAATATACTTCACTTTGCTAATTTAAGGATGCTGATTACGAATCTGAAAACCATTCGTGCTCTCGTTCAATCCTTCAAGAGTTATAAGCATTTTATTTTAATAGTAGCGAAAAGTACCATATTTTGAAAAAATCACA